CTGGACCGTACCAAACGCATGCTCAAGTCGGTCCCCTGGGCCCATGAAATTTAATACTTCTTAGATGTAGTCTTTGATTCTGATTGATCTAAACATGCAGAAGAACTTTGCTGAAGATGATTCATTTGAGCCACTGTAAAACCAGGGCAGGTACAGTTTCAGGCTAATTAAAAGAGCAAAAAAATAAATGCGCCATCTCCAGTCTAAGTGAAATGAGAAGATAGATCATGCTGCCCAATGCTGCTAGGGGAGCTAATGCTCCTCTGTGCAACAGATAAATCCACACCTGAAAGCCAGTGCGATGGGACAGTATCTATGGTTTCTTTCTTCACTCAAATAGTATTTTTCTTTTGTGCATTAATGCTCTGCCATTAAACGTCAATTATTAGAAAGATATTTTTGAGAGAAATGCAGTAATTTCTCTACCAAAAAAGCTTTATTATTAAACTGAAAATTTTGTGGATAGCTGGCATTCTTGGTACATTGCATTTGATTTGTGTTGTGGATGTGCCTCTCAGAAGGTCTGGTTTCCTGCTTTGATTTCCTACAACTTCTAAGAAAATGAAAATATGTTCTCTATACAGAGGATGGTATTTAAAGTTGGTTTTTCCTGGCCAGAACCCTAGGGTTCCCGTTATTTTCTGAAAAAAAAAATCCTTTTTTGACATTTACATCATTTACATGCTTGTCAGTTTGGAGTGCAACAAAAATCCATTGCTCGTATTTATCAGAATATGTAAATAAATGTTGTGTGTGTGTATATATATATACATATATATACATATATGTATGTGTATATATATATATATAAACTGATTTTAAACTATATAAACTCTAGTTTTGCTACTTTGCATTTGGAAATTGCATTGTCCTTAGGAAATGTTAACACTTTTGTTATATTTGAAAACGTTGTATTAAGATAATGAAATTAAGGCATAAATCACTAAGGTCGCACAACATAAATATTTAATGCTTCAGCGGGGTTGGACTAGATCTCTAGAGCTCCCTTCCAACCTCAACCATTCTGTGAGTCTGTGTGAGTCTGTGAGATACTTTATAAGCTGTTTATTATTGGAACTATATCACATTTATAAGGTATGATTCTTAGGATACAGATTGCCAGATCGCCCTAGCATTGCATGTAACACATTTGCAAACCTGGAATAGAAAACCCCTGTTTCTTGGAGGCTCCTGCAGTGCATCCCTGCTGAGAGGCTCCTGGAGAGCCGGTGCAACCCGCAGTGTTCACGGAGCGACGGGGGTTTGGGTCCCTGCTCACCACTGTGCTACACAAACTAAGTTTTTCATTTCCATGACTGGCTTTCCATTTTAACACGGTAGCACTGGGATGTTTCCCAAACACGAGCAGCAGAGATTCTCCTCCTGCCATCTTGCCGTGGGAGGGGAAGGTGTTGAAGCTACTGCTTTACAGACAGGCAGGATCACAGTCAGAATAAATATGAAAGTTTCCTTCCATGATTGCTCATGTCTCGCAGTTGGAAATGTATGCAACCACAGTTTATTTAAACTCTGATCCATATTTTAATTCTTAACATAAAAGTTTAAAACCTGCTTGCTTGGCTCGCTGGTGTGTGAAGTCTCCTGATACCCTGCCACACTGAGCCTCAATTTACTGATCCTCCCTGTGGTCGCTCTGCAAGGATAAAGATAGATTAGATAAAGAGAAATCTGGCTTTAGGATTAAAAAGTAGATCTGTTATCAGAACATCGATTATGCCAAGTATTAGTTGTTTGGGAGGAGATTTTGGGGAAAAACTGGGGGGAGATACCAGTGTATTGCAGCAGAGTCTAAGTGCATGTGTGCAGGTACAAAATTCTCTTTCTCTGTAACTACACAGTGAAAAATGAAGAAGTAATAGGACTGGCTGAGACTACTGTATCTTGTGAATCTCGATGACAATAAACAAAGTTCAGTATTAATTCAGCTAACTAAAAATAAATCAGCTACACACACACGAGGTTTGTTTTTTGCAGGATGTTTCAAAGAGTTCTCATTTACAAATACTTCACTTGTGAAACCTGACAAGCATTTTTGTACCCCTTCCTGAGAGCTGACTTTCATTCTTAGTTGATATTTGTCATTCTGCAATCAAAATGTTATCTTAGAAAATGCAGGAATTTCAGTGGGGACTCTCTGTTTTGTTGTTTTACTCTTTTTCTGGTAAAAAAAAACAGTGGGTTCTGTGTCTGTTTTTCACACATTTAGCATTTTTAGTACCAGCTGGAATTTGTAGGAATGAAACTCTTTGGTAGAGAGCAGAAAATTTGTGCGTTGCTGCTGTAATTTTTATTTTCTGAGGTTGAACTTTAGTCAAACAGGTCTCCCATTACCCTAGAAGAGCCTCCCACTAATTTAGGGAGGGCATCAATCTTGCTGGAAGACCATCTGTTTTATATTCTGTTAGTGAGGTGCATGCTTACAGCTTTGGTTGTATGCAGACTTTGTCCAAAATGCATCACTGTGACATTTTATGAAGCTGACTTTTTTTCTCTATAAGAAAATTGATCATTTTGAAAGATTTGTTGAAGACTGGAGTTTTTTTTAATAATTATTTTAAATTTTCCCAAGAGGAATTGATAACTTGTGGGACATGAGTGATTATTATAGGAACTCTTTTTTTCCTCCACAGCAGGTCTTGCTTATAATCTTTGCTTGTGAGAACTGAACTATGTGCCTGGTTTGCTTATTAGTCTGCACTGTCATTATTTTATGTGGAGAGTTTTGGGAAGGGGACCAGCTGACTCTAAATCAGTTGTGATTTATTTAGAAATGTAAAATGCTTGTGAATAATTCTGCAGAAAATAAAAAGATTATTAGAAAATGGTAAGTTATTTAGTCCTCAAAAATATTAAGTGACTTCAAGTGTTAAAAAACATCTTTTTAAAAAAAGGAACTGCATTTATGAATTCTACTCAGATGTCTAAAAAAGACCTGGTGACATGAGAGTTGTGTCTTTAAGCCATCTTCCAGAAAAGTTGTATCTTTTAGTGAGCCTGACTCATAATTATGAGAATGAAAATGTTCCAACCTGAAAGCTTAGGTGAAGCACATTGAATCAGTATTTTAACAGTACATACTGTTCCTTCAGTAAATAACAGTATCAATACAGCTAATAACCTCTTTTTGCTCCTTTTAATTCAGCCTTTTTTCAAAACATCTTGGGAGTATTTTAATTCCTGAGGCTCCTGAGGGGCTGTTCATTAGGACGTCGGAGGGAGGCTGCGAGCGCGCGCCCTGCGCCCCAGGGAAACCTGCAGCTTTGCCATATTCTCATTTCTATCCAAATGGCAGCTGGGGGCTGCTTGTTGGGGACGCACTTTGCCAATTTAGGTGTCAAGCAAGTGAAAGGGGAATGCGCTTTTTCAAATGCTTTAAACAGCCGATTAGACTTAATGTCAGTTCTACAGATTGTGTAGGAGTTCCTTTTAGTTTACTTAGGGAAAAGCGGGGGGGAAAAAAAAAAGAAATACTACCCGTTAACTTGATTTTTTAGAGGGCAACTCATGTGCATTATTTTCAATGTCTCCCAAAGGCACACAGACCTCTCTCTCTCTGAAATTGAAATCTAACCCAAGAACTGGTAGTAAAATGATCCTCCTTTTTGCACCTGCATGGCTGACTGTAATGAAAAAGATACTAAGCAGAGTTAAATAATTCCTAGGCTGCCTTGCTGGTCTAGGTAGGATACATGATATGTTACTGTATTTTACTTAAATTGACTGTACTGAGGTCGGATACTGCAATTCTGTTGTTCTGTGCCCACTGTGGTAGATTCTGTTAGGTAAAAATGTATTTAGTTTTCATTTTTTAAGAAGTCTTGTGTGATGTGCTACTGCTGATATTGTCAGGGGGTTGAGTAAATGAAGAAATCTGGTAGGATAAAAATAGATTTAATTCCACTGAATTTTGTCTTTGTATATATAAAATTTAGCGTAAGTATTCAAAATCTATGAAGTCTATCATCAAACGAAAGAAAAAGGCATCCCCATTGAATAGCTCTGAGATAAGTGGTATGGTTATATCTGTCCATGGAGTGTAAAGGAACTCTACAGAACTGGCAGTACTGGTATTACTTCAAAAGGTAAATGCCACTTCCCAATGGCTGGCAATGCCATGAATTAAGTAAATTGTGTGGGGAAAACTCTAAATCCACAGACTTTTTTTTTCTTGCAGTTTTCAGTGGAACTTATTTGTTCCACTATGATATATGCTTAGTAAGGTTCAGAAACCAAGCACAATTTTGTAATTGTTGTTAGTATTTTAAGTATATTTTTGAATAAACTACAAGTGAAACTCAAGTTATTAAGTTAACATTTGGGATTCATGTTGTTAATGCAGAAAGAGCTGAGTTGTTTTTTATCTTTTATGTGAACACTACATTTTAGCAAGTTTATACCCACCAAGACAAATATTATAGTTTGCAATTTTCTTTTTGTTATTAGGCAGTTGTAATTGAGATGATGTCATTTTGATAGACTGATTCGTTTCCCTCCAAACATTCACATTTCATAAACATTAAGTCTAATCAAGTAGTTTTATAGGCCTGTGTGATTTCTTCCTTCTTGGGAAGTCCAGCATTTAATTATTCATCCAAAACGTGACAGACCTTTATGGTTAAATTCGTCCCTGTATTGTGCAGGCATTGTAGGCATCTACATTTCCAAGATACTTCACAATCATTTTGAAACTCATAACCCTATAAATTATTTCTAAGGGCAGAAACAGGTAGGTGTGTTGTCTGCAATGAGGGACATGGTGCTTCCTGTCATCTGCATAATGTATGTAGTTGTGAAGGGTGAAATTCTGTCTTTGGATGCTCATGGGGTAACTTATAGCAGTCAAGGTCTATACTGTCATTGGCAGGGACGAGGAAGGAAGCTAAGCACTGTCTGTATATTTGGGAATCTGAACAGTTAATTGAAGAGTAACATTTTAAAAGCAGATGATAACTTCTCGTCTTTGTGTTTTTTTTTAATAGGAACAGATGTCTCAGGTGTTGGACGCGATGTTTGAAAAGCAGGTTGAAGGAGGAGAGCATGTCATTGATCAAGGGGACGATGGTGACAACTTCTACGTCATTGATAGGTGAATGTTTGTGCTAAAGTCCTTTGAGAAAAATCTTTTTCTGTACTCGAATTTGATTTTTATGCATACTTGCATGGGAGAGAGAAAATATAATGCATATTTTGTGTTTGAGCTGTGGAAGGTGATTTTTTAAAAGATTTTTTTTATTGAAATATGTCGCTTCCTTCTTTAGGTATTGCTGGATCCCAAAGACTTTTTTTCCCAAATTGAGAAAGATCTAATATAAAACACAGTGTGAAAAATTTTGCAACTTCAGATTTGAAATCTTGTTGCAATCTAATACTGTCTGTACAATTTCTGGTTCCTACAAGTATTATTAGAGCTTAAGTAGCTTAGTTAACGCATTTCACCTGCAACTCTGTCTTGGGTAAAGCTAAGTAAAATCTTCAATGTTGCTTATTGCTGAAGCCAATGTGTTTGGAGGAGCATTTACTTCACTGTTCTGCACTTGTCATTTAGACAGGCTCTGGCCAGGCTGTGCCAAAACATTTTTCCTTATTTTCTGTCTTCAGTTGGAAGCTTTGACAGTGACTTTTGAGAGTGTTTAAAAGGAATATTATCCTTGAACTCAAAAAAGAAATCTAAATGTGATTGGTCTTTTTTGAAGACAATCTTTGAAGTGTGTCAGGAGTCAACATTTCTTCAGAACTGTGAGGTTTTGGTCTGTCTCTCCTACTCAAAAAGCTACAGGGACTGAAAATTGTGTCAGCCTTGCGGTTTTTAGGTCTGTCCCTAACTACCCCTAAGATCCTTATCACGGGGGTCATGGTGCAGATGTTTGCATTACATCTGCATGATCTATCAAGTATAATATATATCCTCTGTTCTGGACAAAATAATGACTCAGCATCATTGAGAATGGCTGGGTTGTGTTTTACAATGTCAAGTTTTATGCCTCTTCCAGAGCAAAAAAGTAAGCTACCTAGTTAATAAAGGGGAGAAGAAATATGCATTTTATTAGCTAATTATATGATCTTATCATTTCATAGTCTTATGTTGTTTTTCATATACATTAATTCTGTGTATTCATCTCCTTTAATTAATGCATTAAAATATACTAATTATTACTTTAAAATATTTAAAATGGCAAATAACCCATTTTTTTATTGTCTGTATCATAATCATTTTTGCAAACTCTCATCTCATTTGTGTGAACTGTGGTTGAAATGAAACACGGATGCTAAGTTTGAGTCTTCATTTTTAATATATGCAGCTCTCGTTATTAATCATTGTAAATCAGGTTTTCATTAAAATGGGTTACTTCCAATAAAATAACAACCCTATCCCTCCCTTTAAAAAGCAGCTACTTTTGGTATTTGTAGAAGTGATTGGCCCTGCAAGGTGCTTAGTATCATTTAAACAAGCAAAATATATATATCTCAAAATGCTTTATCTTTAGAATTCATGGTATAAAATAATATAATGAATGGCTGCTTAGTAAAGAACGGGAGGAAATTCCACTTACTGTATTTATGTATTTTATTAACAGAGGCACATATGATATTTATGTAAAATGTGATGGTGTTGGGAGGTGTATTGGAACCTATGATAACCGAGGCAGTTTTGGTGAGTTGGCCTTAATGTACAACACGCCCAGAGCAGCTACAATTATAGCTACCTCTCCTGGTGCTATCTGGGGATTGGTAAGTGAAATACTTGTTTTAATATATTAGCAATTTATTTTAAATGTTTTATATAAATCACCATGATATGCTATATCTGCATAAAAATTATTGATAATTTAGGGAAGTTTAATTTTAAAGCACTCAGAATACCAGACCTAGTACTATTGTTTTCCAGAAACTAGAGAAACAATTCTGAAAGGCTCAAGAAAGCACTAATTTCTTTTATATACATACATACATATATATATATATTCCTATTTAATGATAATTTTCTAAACTGAAAAACACATTCAGACACAGTCACTTTGATATATATGTATCTGTATATATGCATATATACAATATTTTCCCATATCTTGCTAGGAAATATGTTTGGTTCTGAGTAAAATTCCGAAGTAAGGTTATTTATCAGTGTCTGGACCTTTGAAAACAACAGTAGAAATTACCAGAGGTGTAAAGCTCAGATAGACGTTCAACATCAAGGCACACGTGTTGATCCAATGCCAAATCCCAAGGTGGCCTTACCCCTTGAAGGGACATGTATGCTTCTGCACCACCCATTTAAATACCAGTCATTTGCTAAAGACCTGATGTGATATTTATTTGAAAACCATTAGACCCCAACTTGTCATACAGAGACTTAGCTCTCTTGATAATTAACATACAGTTGAACCCTAGAAATGCAGAGAAAATGCTTCCTTTTCCTGTTTTGGATCATGTGGGCTAAGTTTAGGACATATATTGTTCACTCCACTCAATTCTCTGCTTGAGGCCAAGCTGGTTAAGGCAAACTCTCTAGCCTCTATATAGCCAAGGGGCAGAGAAGCTCCTGAGAGTGTGAGTTAAATCAAGAGCTTAACTTCAGGTGCTCCTACCTGGCCTCAAGGGAAATCTTCCTCAGCTAACTATATGGGGAGCCTAGCTAAATTAAATGACTGAAACTGGGTCAGCAATGACTTTTTTTAGTCATTTTTAAAGCATTTTCTACCCCTCCATGCCCTTTCTGTTAGTAAACTTTCTTTTTCTCTTTCTCTTCTATTTACAGGACAGAGTAACGTTCCGAAGAATCATTGTAAAAAACAATGCCAAAAAGAGAAAAATGTATGAAAAATTTATTGGGTCATTGCCATTCCTTAAATCTTTAGAAGTAAGCTTTCTATTACATTATTGTAATGTCTGTATCAGAGGTCTATGATAAAACCCTGCCTCTACCAAGTTTAAATTTGGAGTCAACATTTTATCCAGATTTAAATTTTATATACTTTTGTTTGGGAAAAAGACTATATTTATAAATATTCAGGACAAGAGTAATTGTTAATACTGTATACAAATGGATTTTCTTTTTTTATTTTAATTTCTATCTTTCATTTTCTTAAACTTATTTTTTACTCCAGTTTAGGCAGTAATATTACCAATGATTTAGAAGATTGTAAAACCTTTTAATTTAACATCTGTATTTTTAAATGTATACTTTTTCTGAAAATAATTTTGGACGTTTTGGATGTGTAAACTTTTACAGAAGTGGAAGTTTTGTTAACAGATCTTGCCATTAAGACTGTAATATACCAATATACCCTTTGGAATGCTATTGAACAATTGTTCCTGTGTCTTTTTTAATGAATATCAACGCAGGTGAAGAAAGATATGTTGCTCTCTCTAAAGATTTGTGAAGTATTAAAGGACTAAATATAATATTGTAATGTATTTTTTTTTAATTAAGGTATCTGAACGTTTGAAAGTTGTTGATGTGATTGGCACCAAAGTATACAAAGATGGGGAACAAATCATTGCTCAGGTATAGTTATTTATTTCTTTTTTTTTCTTTCAATAGGCAACAATTGCCATATCATATATAAAGAATACGTGATTTTTAACTATTTTTTCTTTGTCAAAAAACTTAAACACAATGAATCAGATGTACAAGAGAGGTGATCATCCTGTTCAGAAGTTGTTTTCCATTTATGATACTTTGAGAAGCATTCCTTTCTGTATGAATGAAGAAATCAACAGTTTTAGTATAGTTAGAAATGCAAACTGTGCAAGAGAACTACTGTTTGCACTAAGGACTGGAGATTTATCTTGTTTCTGTTGTACAAATGCCATAATCATTAGAAGGGGAATGTAAAATGAAACCCTCCAGGGTTTCCACTGAGACCACTGAGATTGTCTTGCCCCGAAACGTTTATTAGAGATCAGATACAGCCTTTGGAGGCTTGTTTATACTGGAGTATGTATAGCAAAGATTGTTTGAGGTGAATACAGAGAGGGAGAAAGAGGAGTAAGGATGGTAAAATCTTCAAAAACATTTTCTCCTGCATTTTGTCTAAGGCACAGTCAGATATGCCTTTTCACAGAAAGGCCTCACTGTCAATTCTGTATAGACATTTTGATCCTTTTGTGTCGTGAGTGTAGATTTCACAGTAAAAGTGATTTATTTTGCAGCAGGTATTGAAAAACTCCATGAACTGGAGGTGAATTCTTTAATGCTACCATTACGCTGAAAAGCAACTTCCACATTTGCCTTACCCGCTTTGTTTTTTCCCTTAAAGGGTGAGATGGCTGATTCTTTCTTCATTGTGGAATCTGGAGAAGTAAGGATAATAATGAAAAGAAAGGTAAAACATTCTTACAATATATGGAATTTGGTGGGGCTTTATAAATTTTGATGTGTTCTAAATGTTAAACACTAATGTCTCTTGTTGCCATTGTTAATTTTACTTATAAAATTCTGAGTTCAGCAGATCTCTCTCTCTTCTCTCCCTCATCCTCTAAGTTTCTTTCTGTTTTTTTAACCTGATATTTCAGGGTAAACAAGATGTAGAAGAGAATGGAGCAGTAGAAATAGCTCGATGCTCAAGAGGACAGTATTTTGGAGAACTTGCCCTTGTAACCAACAAACCACGAGCTGCTTCCGCGTTTGCTCTGGGCACCGTCAAGTGTTTAGGTAACATTCAGTGATATTTTGTATCTAATGTAAAATGATGCTTTTATTTGGAACTCTGTCTTTCCTTCAAGATATAAGATTTAATTACATTTACCTAACGACAAGTAAGACTTTTGAACTACATATCTACTACTATTACTAAATATTTACATTACAAAAAAAAATGCACAAATTCTCCAATGTTTCTCTAGTTATATGTGGGTAAGAGTGGTTTCAAGGTACTGCCGAGAGGATTGCAGCAAATCTTTTGTAACTGTCAGATAAATCTCTCCAACATTCTAGAAATAGATAAAGAATTTCCTTTCTCACTAGACCATCACCTGAGAAGTAACTGTTTAGTAAAAAATTTGTTCCATTTTATCACCATGACTTTAACAAATCCTTTGCCTTCACCAGCTTGTTAATTTAATCATTCCGTCACACTGTAGCCTCAGGCACAGGAAAGCAAAGACCGTAGGAGCTGAGCTCACAGGTCACCTCTTCTCAGTCCACTCATTTTTCAATGTCGAAAGTTTAGTTTCTGAATGTTTGCATTCAATTAATGGGAAAAATGACAAACTACAGATTTAGCTTTCTTGAATGACAGCCTTTTACCAAGCTAGCAAACCCAAGTTTTCCACTTATCTATAAAACTAATGTTTTTAAAATCCTTATCACCTAACATACACAGATGAACAGACATTAGAGATCAAAGATGGGGAAGAACAAGAGGCAGCGATGGGAAAGAGCCAGTGTGAGTGCAGAGGTCTGTCCAAATAGTGAAGATCTTCAATTTTTCTTAGCAGCCATGAGACTACAGGCAACCAGGCTGAAAACAGACAAGTATAAGGTTTCCTACATGGCTTACTAGAAGCAAGGGTAAAAGAGCAAAGAAATACAGCCACAACATCAGCGAATTATATATTTTATTGAAATCACAAGGCAACTGAAACTATTTTCTGTGGAGGAATCCAGGCACTCCAGAGCTCTCCGGCAGCTCTTGGATCACATAGACTTTAATCTGAAAATATTTTCAAAATAAGGAACCCAGCTAGTTATAAGTTAATTTATAAAGTTCCAAGCCTGCAGTGTGTTAGCTGATACTGTTTTTGCTACGGTGTTTCTTTTCTGTGTAAACAAAGTATATGCCTCAGTAATATTTTTCCTATTATCATTTAAAATTCTACACTGGCTTGTCATAAATACCAAGATTTGTGTCTCCAACTGACAAACAAATTATATTCTTTCTCTTTCTCTCCCCTTTTATCTTAGTTATGGATGTTCAGGCATTTGAAAGGCTTTTGGGACCTTGTATGGAAATTATGAAAAGAAACATTGCAAACTACGAAGAGCAGCTAGTTGCGCTGTTTGGAACAAACATGGACATTGCTGATCCCCGTGCGTGAACACAACCTTGGAGCCACGAGATCTGTTACGAGAAAATAGCACAGTAGTGGTTAGTCCACTGAGAAATTGTCTCTCTTCCTATAGATGCCAAGCATTTTCTGTGATTTTGGGAGTGGGTTTTGGGGTATTTTTTGGACTTACTACAATGGAAATACTAGTAAACAAAATCGGAATTTAATAAATTGTGGACTTGATTGTTAAAAGTGCTCACCATTGATGGTAGTAGCACAGCACCTTTGAAAATCAAGTCCTTCACATGCAGCATTCCCATAAAGAGTAGATTTCAAGAAACCCACATGCAATTAACTTGTTAAACCAGCTTCTGTTCTTCAAAATGGTTACAATTTTTCTGGAAAGACTGTTAGTTTGAATGTGATATGTTGAAAGTATTAGTGCACACAAAGTGTTTATATGTATTAATACAGAAGATATACAGTAGTTATTACTTTCTGACTATTACAGTTGTCATGATTTTATGTTGCATTTATCACAGATGTAGTGAAACACAAGAGTAATCGTAAGATAAAGCATGATAATGCATTTTGTGTGACGCTCATGACCCAAATCTGATTTTTAACATTTTGTAATTTGTTTTAAAGTCCTCTTTGTTTAATATGTCATGTTTCAGCACAACATTGCAATATCTTATGCAATTTAGAGGACTTGTATATTTTTGCAATAAACTGCGTTTTTTATTAGTTACATGTATTCTGCACATTCTGGAGTGAGGACAACTGACAAATTAACCCTGATGCTTTAAAAAGCAAAGGTATAGATCATTGTCATGTTCTACCTAATCATGAATAACTTGCATTTTTTCCTTCTCCCTTGTTTTATATTTATGCATTTTTGTCTTCTCTTTCTATGCTTGTTCTCTAGTTACATTTTTTTTAGATCTCACCTTTTGATTTGTTAAATCCTTTCCCTATTCCAAATCAAATGATCTCTGTATATCTCTCCTCTTACAGTCTGATCTTAGTTATCAAACACCAGATCAGTTAGGAAGTGATTGATATCGAAAGGTGTAGTAAGCTGAGCTTGTTCTTGAAAATCATTATCAGCAAGTACAAAAACATTTTTAGTTTGAAAGATCAAGAATTTAAAAGTTTAATGCAAGTTTGAAAAGTATGTTGTCATTAAAGCTGACAGGTACTACCTTCAAAAATCTGTAGGTCATCATAAAATGCCTTTCTGACCATAATGGCATGGGACGCCTTCCGAGACTGAGGAGAGAGAATATCATCCTAGTTAGGAGCACAGGGCTCCTTGCTCGGAAAGGTCTGTGACTGGAAATCTCAGGCACGGTCTGCTTTTAATACTGCTTATCTGGTGATGTAAATGGAAACTAGTGCACGTAATGGCAATTGATAGTAGTTCTGCCAAAATGACATTAAAGAGTATTAGGAAGGTTGCTTGTGCCCTGTTCCAAACACCTGAACGATTATCTTTCCTTCTTAGATAATGGCTTTTCTAATGCCATTTATTTCTTTATGTTGATGTAATTATAGCTAGTGCTATGTTCTGGCAGTTTATATAATCATACCAGAATATGACGTTATGATTATATAATACTACTTCAATATATAATTTATATCATAGAGTATGGTATAAATTATTAAGCAAATTATTAACAAAATACAATCTCAGCAAAATTCACAAGTGTCTTTTTTTAACCTAGAAATTGGTATGAGTAATTGCAAATATATAACTTGCCTTTGTACTTTTGATTTTTTGGGAAAATAAACAAAAAAAGAGAGAGAAGCTTCTTATACTAGAAGGAAATAATCAGGTAACCAAGATCTGTGCTTTGTCATTCTGTATGCTTAATCTCCAAAAGTTACCTATACTTTGCACTAGCTTAATGTGATTAAGAAAAATGCTAACAATTACTTGTATGGCAGTAAACTACAATCAAGGCCATAAATGCCGGTCACAATATTTTCAATATTGTTGGTTATATTTAAAGTTTCCTTACAATAAACAACACTTTTATATATATAAATATATGCTTATTGATATTGTTGTGTTTTAATTTTATTATCATAAAGTTACAAGTGAACTGTTTATATTTATTTATTAAAACATTCATAATTCTTAACACTTCCATGTTGATTTTCATCAATGAAGAAGTTCTGCAGATACCCTCTCTACTCAGGATAGATCTTAGGCTGGTGCAGCAATATACCTCCTATCTGATGATGTCCTTGCAGTTTATATTCAGGAAAAACTGTGGCAGTGGGGAATTCTGGATGCCAGAGAGCCACATACTTTGGATTTCCCCAAAGTGTCTCAAAGCGTGGCTTAATGTCAAAGCAATTTATTGTGCTGTTCTTGGGAACTGGTGGATTTCTGGAATTTTCTTTTATGGTGACTGCAGGGGTTTTCCTTTGACGATAACAGAGCAGTCTTGCTGCAAGTTTCACACCAAATATTACATCCTTCATCAGTTCTCAGCATCTGGGATTTCTCCTGGATCTGTTTCTAGGCACAGCTCAAAAACATTAGTCCTAGCATCATAAATGTGGTGTTCGTCCTAAGAAGGAAATCATACCAAGTTACTGGTTTTTATTGTTTGGAGCTATCAAAAAACGTAGAGTTCAGATAATCTTAAATAATTTTGTATCGTGTTCACATTATGAGAGTATCTCTGCCCTTGTTTAGATTGCCTGACACTTCTGTTTTTAAAGATTTTGTTGTGGTCCTTGCCAGCCTGGTCCTGGCTCCTAAAGGAGCAGGATTTAGGTACTTGGCACGTCCCATAAGTCTTCATGTTTCTCTCTTCTCTCCCCACCTTATGGGCAAATTTTGCAAACCTGTACATGATTTAAGCAAATTTGACAAGTGCCTAAGATCTGGAGACGAAAACAAAATGCTCCAGTGAGCTCTTTGAAAATACACCCTGCTGCGTAAGGAGAGAAGTGCCAGAGAGCAGAGCAGGTCAGTGAGAGCAGGGCATGGAGGGGCTCACGTGCTGCCGGCACAGGATGGCAGTGAGCGTTGACACATGCCTTAACCATGAGAAAAGCGTCACCGCAGCCCTCAGGCCGTCACAAGACACAAACCCTAAGGAAGCCAAGCTTCCTGCCCCTCATGGTCATGCCACGGCTCTTTTTAATGGCATTTGTCTGTGTTCCGTGAGATTTCATCCAAATTCATCTGGGATTAATGTTTCTGAAAGTCACCCCCTCTTGAGCTCCTGTCCGAGGTCCATAAATGACTCGTGGTGTCAGTCTCGTGGGCTTGGCTGTATCAAGAGCACTGTGAAGCCTTCTGCAGCTTAAAGCATTTGTCACTCCATCATCTTCCCTCTTGTAACCTTCTCCATTCAGTGAAAATTGCTCCATTGCTGTGGAGTCGTGTCTTGTTTTTTTTTTGTTTTTTTGGTTTTTTTTGAAATGTTTGCTGCTTTAAGTTTCCCATAAAGTCACTTTGGGATCAGTTGCATTGCTATTTGTGTCATCTTGTGTCATTTATAACTCACCTTCCCTGGCAGACAGTGAGGTGTCACTGCTTTTTAATACCAGGGAGTATCCAGATGTGAAAAATTAATATCTGCTGGTTATAATTCACATACCTGGAATGGCAAATTTCTCACTCTTCTAATTTTTAGACATTTACTGCCTTGGCTGAACAATGCACTTTGCTGAAAGTCAGTTCATCACAGGATGGACATCCTTACACAGTCTTGCTGAAGTTGTTATGTCAGTTTAAAGCTCCTTTTCTCCGTTCATACACGTGATAATTGCAGGCATTTTCTTTTTTTTTCTTTCCTTTTTTTTGGAGTTTTTAAGATGTTTTCTTCTCTTGTTCTCTTGTGTCTGTAGCTCCTCAACTAAGCTACCCCGCAGTTTTCCCTGTCAGGAATGGATTGCTTCTTTGTATGCTGAGAGTACAGAACTGTGTTATAAAATGGAGGATTACTTTTAAGTCAATTTTGTGGTTGGATTTCCTTCAGACATGTACCAAGTCTGCTTCTAAGTTTTTCATCTGCTTTGTTTTGGCTCAGGAAGGTGCTTCACAGAGTGGATGCTCTTCCTTCATGGAGAAATGAAATGGAAATGGAAAAAAAAATGGAAAAGGAACAGATGAATCTTGGAAGAATGTGAAAAACCAAAAAAAAAAAAATCCCTTTGACAAGTTTCACCAAACTGTATTTTATTTTTTCTCTTTGTTGGTTTGTCCTTGTGAAGTAAGATGGGGTCACTGTCTTGAGGAAACTGGCCTCACCTTCGCCTTCCTTTAGCTCTTGTTCTCACTTCTGGCTGCAACTTTGGTAAATATCCTACCTTCTCTCTACAGTTACATCCCTGCTAGTAAGTTACATTAGCCCAAGACTATTTGCTAGTACTCAGGCATCAAGTGGGCAACATTCATACTATTTTAACTGTGTGCGTGAGCTAAATTAGAAGCTGTCCTATAAACTTTTTCCAGCTTACTGTATGGGGTGGCCATGTGTGAATGACTCACTGGAAATGGTCCTTGGCTCATGCTAACTTCCAAACCATATGCAGGAATTTTTTGCTATTGACGTGAGCAAAAACTGCCAGGGCTCTCCCAGCAATTTTGGAGCACGGAGGACTGTTCCAGTACCCAGGAACACACCTGGCACTGTAACTTAGCACACAGAGAACCTACAGATCTTCTGGGTTTGTAGTCTCTTCTCAACTTGTTTTTCTGCAAGCTTTGGGCTGGGATAGCGGCTTTTCTCCCTTATTTTTCTTATGGGTTGTATCTGGATCTGTTAGGTCTGTCTCTGTTCTGACGCCAGTTGCGCTGCCCTGGGTGCAGCCCCAGATCCTCCGCGCCGCGTTCCCAAGAGCAGAGGGACTTGGTGCACGTAGAGTCACTGGGATGTGCCGGAGGGAAGGAGTGGGAGCAGCTTTAGGGGAACGAGAAGTCATGTGAAGGAAGAGCCGGGTGAGAAAGACAGGGTGGTGAGCAGAGGCTGCTGAGCTGAGCAAAGGTGAAAGCTGATCAGGATTTACAGGGTGTTCAGTTAATTAGTGAGGGTGGATGTCTGGACGCAGATGGGAAAGCTCTGGTGGCAGAGTTAAAATAATAATATGGTGTGTTTCCAAGTCAGCATAGATGCCAGTTCATAAATGAATTGGCTTTGGACAGGAGAGATTCAAAGTAGATAGCTAGAATCAGACAAATACAACTTCATTTATGTATCTTCTGTTTATGTAGAGTATTTCCTGCTCATTTATGCTTC